GCCGCCTCTACCGGCCCCGCCGCCGTCCCCACGCGGCCCCGCCGTCACCACCGAGCCGCCGGCGCCGCCGAGCAACTGCCGAGCCGCCGGAGCCATCCAAGCCGCCGTACCGCCGAGCCGCCCGAGCCGCCGAGTCGCTGAGCTGCAGTTGCTGCCGAGCCGCCGTACCGCCGAGTCGCCCGAGCCGCCAGAGCCGCCGAGTCGTCGAGCTGCATTTCCTGCTGAGCCGCCGAGCCGCCCTGTCCGGTAAGAGCAGCGCCTCTATCACTGCACTGCCCTTACCCTACTGTTCGCGCTGCTAGTCTACTGCTGTCATGGCTACCCCTAGTGTCCTCGCTTTTGACACTGAGGGTCGGGCCATTGACTTTGACGTCTGGGTAGATGACCTGCAGCTTTTCCTACAGTGGAATAGGGCAGACGGTCTCTCCCTCTTTGACCTCACTTCTGGTGCCTCTCCTGCCCCTGCTGCTGATGCTGACGCCACTATTCGCTCACAGTGGGCCACACGCGATGCTGCTGCACGTCTTGCTGTGCGTCGCCACCTGCCTACCTCTGAGCGTGCACACATTAGCCAGTACAAGAGTGCTCAGACCTTGTACGACGCTGTAGTTGCACGCTACTCCTCCCCTGCCACTGCTGCACTGAGCCGCCTCATGCTACCGTACCTCTTCCCTAACCTTGCTGCCTTTCCCACAGTCACTGACCTCATTACGCACCTCCGCACTAGTGACACTCGCTACCGCGCTGCGCTTCCTGCTGAGTTCTGCGCCAAGAACCCCCCCCCCCCATGTACATCACCCTCTACTAAATAGTCACTCGGCTCCCTGACTCTCTCCGCGTAGTCAGGGACCACTTCCTCTCAGTTTGCCCCACCACTCTCACCGTTGACCTCCTCGAGAAGGCCCTCCTAGCGATAGAGAAGAGCATAGTCGCTGTAGGAGCCTCTCGTGGTGACCCTCGTGGTAGGTATCTTAAGGAATTTGCATCTGAGGTGGCATCATAGGTGGCATCGTCCTCATCTCAGCTAGACAACATGATAGTACAGCAAGATAGCACAATATCACGATAGCACGACGACATCATGACAATATGTCAGCAAGACAGCAAAACATCATGACATAATGAAGCACACCATAATCACCTGGATATAATACGCCCCACTAGTAGACCTGGGTATACTATTAAGGTCACCGATATCCATGAGGAAGAAATAGGTTAGTGCATGTGATAAATCTTAACTCTGCAATCATGACAACATGTCAGCAAGACAGCAAAACATCATGACATAATGAAGCACACCATTATCAACTGGATATAATACGCCCCACTAGTAGACCTGTGTATACTATTAAGGTCACCGATATCCATGAGGAAGAAACAGGTTAGTGCATGTGATAAATCTTAACTCTGCAATCATGACAACATGTCAGCAAGACAGCAAAACATCATGACATAACGAAGCACACCATAATCACCTGGATATAATACGCCCCACTAGTAGACCTGGGTATACTATTAAGGTCACCGATATCCATGAGGAAGAAACAGGTTAGTGCATGTGATAAATCTTAACTCTGCAATATTGTGTGTGGACTTCGTGCAGTCGAAATTGCTGTTAGGGTGTACGGCTGTTGATGCGGAAACTGGTCGCACCACCGCGCGCTCCGGTTTGCCTACATAGAGTGTCACTCATATGCGACTGTTGCATGAGATGCCTTTTTCCGCGCCAAAACCTTTGCGTGTCATTTTGCTGTCATCAGGTCAGGGCGCGTGTCTTTTTTATATCAGGCTAAAGTTAATGTTTTTTTGTTCGAATTTACACATTCGAACTTTGGTCGACCTGTGGTCGACCATTTCGACTTTTCGTGGTCGAGGAGCAGCGTCAGCAATTCCGAGTCGCGCGTGGAACAACAAAGTTCGAATATCAGAGTTCAACTTTAAACAGTAAATTACAAGTCGCGCTAGACTTCTGTAGGACACCCGGCTGTGCGGTGCAGTTCGTGACCGGACCCGAATTGGTAACCTGATACATTTTCCCTCGTCATCGTCGAGAACCTCGCAAAGTTTCGGGCGTGCGTCAAAGAACACACGATTGGAAAAGGTAAACGTTAAAATCCGAACACTGGTCGACTTCAGTTTAGTGTCCAGCTTCCTTCACACAGTTTGAACCAGGACACACGATTCCCTCGCGAATATTTTGGCGAGAAAAACGAAAAAGGTTACCAGCAAAAGTTCGACCCTATTTTCGAACGTTAACACCAAAAGACACGCGCCCTTAGAAAGTCACCTTCCCTGTGTCCGCTATTTTCGCCTTAGTTTTTGTTTTCGCATCACGATTCGTCGTGGTGAGATCCCCGCGTGCGATATGTTCGAAGCAGAACGCTGGTACAGTCGGTGCTCATTTCAAGAACACCAGGCAGGCGGGCGGCAATGGACTGAAACGGGCGGCGGGTACTTTGTCGATCTTCGCCACGCCGCCACGGGCAAAAATGGGACTGTAAAGTAAAAGTGGGACTTTCGTCAAGTCGCTGTAACTCGGTCAACCATTTTTAGATGACGTATGCGATGACGCATGGACGGGCGACCTCTGTTGTTTCTGAACTGTAGAGGTCGATCTTCTGCAACTTGGTGACTCTACCACACTGCTCAATTCAGTCACTCACGGGCAAAAACGTTCGCGAGTGACTGTTTTTCTGATTGGGGCGACCTTAAGACACGGGATAAGGTGAGCATCGACTGCAGGGGATGTGTTGAGGCGGGAGGTGGTGGGGGGGGAGGGGAGGGGGGAAACTCGACCGACGTTCGGACTTGAGATGTTCATTCTCGCTGAACCTGTCTTGAACCGTCTAGAAAGCTCTGAAACGCAACGAAACCTACCGAACCGCATATTCTTAATGCTGCAACTGAGGGCGGGGATAAACCACTGGGAGGCACACAGTCACGAACGAGACTGGTCCTGACCTGACAACAAATACGCTGCCTACACACAAATTTCATACCAGACCGCATCCCTTGCCTAGATCGACGGCGTATCATCTCACGACACGTCGTGTATCCAGCCACTAATTCATTCCAATCCACATCCATTTCCTTCCCTTCCGGAAACCTCGACTTCCCCTGACCTCCATCCATCAGCAGTACAGAGTCGGAATATATCTTGCTTTGCACAGCAAGTTCCACACTCAATCACAAGTCGTTCTCTTGAAACTAGCAAACCAGCAGCAATGGCCCAGTCCCCATCGTCGACGCGCGCCCTCACCCTCGCTGTGCTTTTCTCCGCGTCACTATGGGTAGCGAGCCTCCCGCGCTCCGCGGATGCAGTTCAGCTCTCCTACGTGCTGTCTCAGATCCGCAACAAGACCAACACGGGCGCCAACGCGGACATATCCGCGGGAATGGTGGAATTCGCCGCTGGATACGACAAGGTCGATGACATCACTGGAGGCTCGCTTCTTCTGCCCATCAACGACGGCTGGACTAACGCACTCGCGGCCTACAAGACCAACAATCCGTCTGCGACAACCTCGTCGGACCCAGTTCTCGAGGCACTCAGCACGATTGTGTCCTCGTCGGGGTCACTGTCGGCCCTCAACGGCATGTCGTCCAACGCCAAGAACGCCATGTCGCGCCTCGCCAAGTTCATGTCTGTTCGCGAATATGTCGGACCCACCGAAATGCAAACTGGCACCGTGAGTACCCGCACCCATGCCGATGTACTCGGCGCGGAACGAACACCATGACCCGCAACGTGATGATAGGCCAATTCCTACATTCTTGCATCTCCTGCTTTTTGAGAAATTTAAAAACCAATTCCTACTTTGTTGCATCTCCTGGTTTTTGAAAAAACTCTAAAACCGATTCCTTGCATCTCCTCCACCATTCCATTTGATGATGTTGCACAATCCTCTTTCCTCGTCATTGCACCTCGCCAATCGTCTCATTCTCATCATTACGCATCCGTTTCCCTCCCAAGCAGTACAAGAACGGGCGGTTCAGCTTGAACACGGCGCTCAACCAGCCAATCTATCTCTACGCCAACGTCACCGGTGTCCTCACAACCGGCAGCGGGATAGATCACGTTTTCACCGGGACCGACCGTGGCGCCGTCGACCCGACTACGTACAAGAAGAATGGACTCGTGGCAGGCAGTGGCGCTGGAGGGCCGAAGGCAGTGGGGGATGTGACAGCCGTCTTTGGTCTTGCCAGCTCCGCTCAAGTGCTGGGCAAGACCACGTCGTCATCTGACATGTCCGCGATTGTTGTGTCTGACCCCGTGTTCCCCGCGACTATGAGCTCGCTTACCAGCTCCGATCCTGTGCAACCGTATGGCAAAGGTGCGTTGTGGCGTGTGGATGGTACAAGCGGGCCTTGAGAGCGACTTGCTGTTTTTTCAGCAATGATGCCACGACAGGAAGTTCGTAACGTCGAAGCTCCTGTGAGTGCCGAGTGGACACTTGCTGAGGTACAGTGGCATGTCCTTGTTGCTACATGCCCATGCATTGTGACAGCCTCTCTGTCCAAACCTGAGCTGCTGCTGCAGCAATACCCTATCAGCTTTATTAACCGGTTTTGGGATGTTCTCTTTTGAATTTGCAGGTGCTGGAAGTTTTGCGATATATGGAAATCTTTTGGCGCTGGGTCTTTCTGTGATTGCGCTGCTTGTGCTCATTCAGGAGTTGATGTAAGCACAATAGAGTGTTCCGTACACCACTCTACTTGTTACCCTAACCACTTTAAGAGAAGCTGGTTTGTTATGGTATATATCGATGTCGTACTGCAATGTTTATTCATTGAGAATCATGTCATGACAGTTTGTTCTGTTAATTATCAACGTGCCTGTTGACAGTCTGGGACCAGATTTCCTTCTTTTCAGCCTTCTTAGGCTGCTTGTGAAGGAAAGGATAGTAGATGGTGACCCCTTGACCTGATCTCCAATAAAGAAAGTGCTGCGATGCACTTGGTACAAACCTAAGTGCCTCCTGTCAGGCACAGATCCCCTTCTATTCCGCCTTAGTAGGCTCCTCCAGGAAAGGGTAGTCAATGTACCCCTTGACCTGGTCGGGGATGAAGAAGGTGCTGCGGTCGTACGCGTTGAGCGGCGCGTTGAGCTCAAAGCGCTTTGGGAGGTCGGGGTTGGCGAGGAAGAGGCGGCCGTACGTGATCAGATCCGCCGCCCCGCTCTCAATGGCTGCCATGCCGCTCTCGCGCTGGAGGTTGGGACAACAGTAGGGGATTGGAGAGCAAGGGGAGGAGAGCACAGTGGGGAGGATTGGGGGGATTGGCGGTAGAGATGGACGGGGGGGGGGAGGAAGAGAGGGTGGGGTTGTGCGCATGCGGGATATGCATAGAATATGGATAGAATGCAGCACTCGATACGTATGGTACGGTACGTGTTTGGAATACGGGACGACCATTAGAAACCACATCCTGCATTGCTTTACTATCACATGATGCAATTAATTGCCACACAACATGCATCGCCATACAACCATCCAACATGCATTGCCATGCAACATGCACTGCCATTCAACATGCACTGCCATTCAACATGCATTGCCACGAGAGTGGAGTCACCACGCCAATGCAGCACTTGTGTCACAACAGACTGGGCCCAGCATACCTTGTAGCCACCGGCAGCAATGAAGGGCCCCTTGAATGCCTTGCGGAATGGCTCCAGAGTCTGCAGGTAGAGTGAAAGGAGTTGGAGGGGGGGGGGGGAAGGGGAGAGAGCAACGGCGACAATAATATTAATATATATTCAAGTGCCAAAAAATCGCCTCAACGAAGGGCGGCTCTAGAGTCTGCAGACAGAGTGCAAAGGGGGAAGCAACCGCAGCAGCAACCAAGCATGCCTGCAAGCATAGAGTGACATGTGCGATGTGCCCCACCCACGCTTACCTCCACCACGCCTTCCATATCCCACAACAACCTCAACTCGTTCACAGCACAAGCTGTATATCCCGTATTCCCTTTGTGAGCCTCCGTCACATCCTCATTCACACGCACCACTCACCTCCTACGCGCCTCTCATCTCCCTCACAGGTCATCGTTAGCCAGCCCGGCACTGCGCAGGCCTCCACGAAGCGCACATACGCCAAGCCAGACAGAAAGACACAACCCCCACACACACCCACCGCCAATGTGCATCTCACCTCCTTCACAGTCGCTATGTCGTCGTTGCCTCGCACGCGGGCGTCGATGAAGTGCACATACGCCAGGCCCAAGCCGTTGACGGCCTCCACCATGCCCACGTACGTGGCGACGGGGTCGGAGTCAACAGCATCCAGGAACGTGCTGTACGGCGACAGGCGCACGCCCACCCTGCTGGCGCCCACCTCGTCCGCCACTGCCTTGATCACCTGGGAGGGGAAGGGGGGGGGGGGAGCATGGGCGGGGTGGGGGAAGCGGAGGAGATGGAGGAAGTAAGGGGGGAGGAGATTTGGGAAGAGATGGGGGGAGATGGGATAAGGGGCTGCATTTCAACGCCTCACTACAGCCCCACCCTCTCTCGAGTTCAGCAAACGTAGTGGCATGGCCAGCCTATTACCAGAAATCCATGCACTCACCCCCCCATAAAGTCACAGCAGCTTGACCCACGTACAGGGCGCAGAGGTGGTGTGATTTGAAGCGTGCAGCACAGCAGCTTCAACCATTGCCCCTCCAAAACTCACAGCAGCCTGACCCACCTGCAGGGGGAACCGAATCCTGTTCTCCAGGGACCCGCCAAACTCATCCTCGCGCTTGTTGCTGCCGTCCTGGCAGTGGGGGAGGAAGGTGGCGGAAGAGTGGAGGTGGGTTGTTGAGAGAGTGGGGATAATGAGGTGGGCCACCTCGGGTCCGAACTTGCCCTCAGGCTCGTTGCTGCTTGGTGGTGGGTGGAGATGGGGGAGGATTGGAAATGACAGAGATGTGGTGAATGCAGATCTGGAAAGAGGTGTGAACCTGAGCTAATGAATATAATTAAAATGGGCTGTAGAGCATGATAATCTCACACTCATCCCACCTTTTAAACCACAATGCGAGAACAAGAGACAAACAAAAGTGGGTTTGGCTAATGATTCGCATCTAAAACACACCTTTTGCTAGTTAATAATCGCAAACTAGATACTCCGCAGCATCTCCGCTCTGCGTTACTCACAATCGTGTCACGGCAACGAGCCTCAGTCATTTCACCTTCATGTACCGCCTCAGCAGGTACTCTTTCGCTGCGATAATTTCTAGTGTTGCAGATTCGCTCAATTGGTAACCCGTTCGTCACTTCCACTGCCTCACCAGAACACCCCGCCCCGTTACATTTCACCTTGATGAACCGCTACATAGGGTACCTGTTCGTTGCGGTAAACCCTAAGTTACAGAATCGCACAAACGGTAACCCGTACGTCGCTCACAACTAGATGAGAACGATGTGCGGTCGTCTCACCTTGATAAACTGCTCCAGCAGGTACCCGTTCGCGCCATGCACCTCCACCCCATCGAACCCCGCGTCAATCGCGTTGCGCGCCGCCACGCGGAACTGCTCCGTCACCTGAAAAAACCACCCGCAGCGGACATTCAGGATGATGGAAAAGAAGAAGAAAATAAATAAACAGAGTGGATGAGGGAAATGGGATGCGCGAGATGGATAGCAGCGGAAGCGCATCATGGAATACTACACACCGCACAGCTGTCGCGCAGCCGCGTGGAACTGCTCGTTAGCGGCCGCGCAGCCACCGTGCTGGGTGGCATTGCGACGATGGTAACAGGCACATCATGGAGACGGGGCAATGGGGGTAGAGCAAGCGGGCTGCCGGAAGTGCACGGCGCGTGGTACTGCTCGGTCAGCTGGGTTGTAAAGTGGAACGAGCAGGACCGGCACGATCGATAGCGGATATGGGACCATGCGGAACGCGCGTCATGCAACGAGCACAAATGCGGAGCCTCGCCTGCCGCTTCAGTCATGGACCGAGGGGAATAAACGCCTTAGACACATAGTTTCCGTCTCCGTACCTTCCATCACGTCCGTCTCATACCTTCCATCACGTCCGTCTGGCAACCTATCAAGCACTGCTCGTAGCCGCACAGCAGCTCCCTACCTTGTTGATGTCTTCGGCAGTCATGGCTCTGGGCGTGGGATAGTCCGCGGCGCCAGTGCTGATGTACACTTTGTCCTCGCTACGGATGGGAATGGCGGACGGAGCCAACGGCGCGGCGCCATCAGGCTGGTACTCTGATTGGGGCGCAATGGGGGGGAGACGGGGCAGGCGAATGACGAGGAGGAGAGGAAGGAGCGATGAGGAACGACAGTTGTGGATGCGCGAAGACTCTCGGAGAGAAAAAGGGGAACCAGTACGTGGGGTCGGGTCGCATCGTGATGGTAGGGTGAGGGACGAAGCAGGGAGAATGAACGACTCGTTGCTGGGTGAGCGATCGGAATCGCCAATGTGGAAGTGAGACGCGAGACAATCAACGCGAATGGCATTCACCTTGAACGACAACCCCAGGTTCCACGATGTGTTAGAAGTGGTTTCGCCGCTGCACCGACTTTAAGAGCGAAAAAACGACAAAAGGGATGCCTGGAAAATGCCTTACCTATGGCGGTGGGAAAGAATAGGCTTGAAATTGAGTTTCTGACGGCGGGAGAAGTTAGGTGTGAGAGCCTGAGGAAGAGCTGGTAAAAACGAGGGTTTCAGGAGGAAGAGAAGGGAGAACGTTCTGGACCGCCAGAATTTTTCCAACCTTTCTGGAGGCGGCGTTCGGTGGAATTGAAGAAAGTCGGTTTCACCGACGGTTCAGTTTGAATTACGGTTTTTCAACGTCGGTTACTGTTACGAAATTCGGATTCGCGACGAGGCGCGTTACGCGAGGCGCACTTTGAAATTCGGATTTCGGATTGCTTAAATTGCATGTTCTGTTTTCCTCATTGTATCAGATTTTCATAGTGAAACTTTCTGTTTGCAACCTGGGTTGGAAAGCAACCTGTTTGAGCAGCTTTCAGTTCAAGTTTGAAGCCCGCTACTGCTACTTTCGTGACTCCTAAGTCACGTGCTTACTACGACTGAGACCAAGAGCTGGTATCAGAGCTGGTTCTAGTGCGTTCCAAGTATCAAAGAAGGGCCAAGACTAGTTCCTGCATCATGCCGAACGGGGATGGTGAGGCAAGCTCGGGTTCTTCAGTCAGTGCTGAAGTTCCCCAAGTCCAAGCCCTCTTGGAGGCTCTAACACAAGGGCAAGTGGTGGCCAGGCCAACGATCGGCCTGAGCGAGGCGCAACGGTTCAATGGCAACAATTACAGCACATGGCGTCTTAAGTTCATGCGGCGGGCAAGAGAGATCGATATATGGCACTTCTACAAGGCGGACGAGGAGACAGAGGAAGGAGTACCTCCACCTGCAACGGCAACGGCACAAGAAAAGAGGACATACAAGAAGAAGAGTTTACAGGCCTTCTTCCAACTATGTCACTCGGTCTCAGACTCCATCGCTGTGGGGCTGGACCAGTTTGCAGACGACATGAATTCAGCACAACGTGCATGGGCATACATGGAAGCCGTATACCTCGGACGGACCGACACGAATCTGACTGCAGTGAGAAAGAAGCTGCTGCTGCTCGCAATGGAACAAACGGAGAAGATTATTGACTATGTCAATAGAGCCAAGAGCTACAATGACGATCTCACAGCAATGGGGGCGCCCGAATCAGAGAAGCACATGATGGGATACATCATCAGCGGCTTACCTAAGGAGTGGACGGCAGAAATCGGAATCTTGACCTGCAACACGCCCAAGGACATGACACAGCTGCTCGAGACCCTCCAGGCGCTTGAGCTGGTCAAAGCTGACCTGAAACGGAGGGAAGCAGTGGAAACGGCAGCAGAGGAGAACAGGCCTGCAAATCTGAATGCAACAGCGACACCAAGGAACTCTGGCAACTGCTACCAATGCGGGAAAAAGGGTCACAAAGCTGCGGACTGTTATTCCAACCCCAATGCAAGAAACTACAAAGGGACAGGGCGCTGGCAGCAAAACAGCGAGACGGGACGTGGAGAAGGCTACAAGGCAAGCAGAGGATTCAATGGAAATTGCAACCATTGCGGCAAGTATGGGCACAAGGCTTCTGATTGCTACCACAACCGAGCTAGCAGAAACTTTCGAGGAAAGGAGCTGCAAAGGCCAGCAGCAGCAGCGAAGACAAACATGATGGAGGCTCCTACGGCTGTGGAAGAAACACCAAAGGTGGACCCCATCCTTGGAGGCGCTCACAAAGCCAACGTTGCTCGAGCATCCGAGGTGTGCCTGCTGTCCAAGGGATTCAAAGAAACTACTTGGTTTATGGACAGCGGGTGTACACGGCACATGACACACCGGGCTGATTGGCTACGCAACTACCGGGAATCTGGAGTCCCTTATGTCCTACTCGGGAATGAGGGAAAACTTCAAGTGCAAGGAGAAGGGGACCTGATCTTACAGAGTCCCTATGGGGAGCTGAAAATGGACAACGTTCTTCTAGTTGAGAAGCTGTCCCTTAACCTCATAAGTCAAACGCAACTGGACAGCAGTGGCTGCAAGACCTTCATTGGCAATGGAAAGCTGTGGGTGTTCGGTCCCACCTGGAAACTGATAGCGGAAGGCGCAAGGACTGAAGGACTTTACGAGATGAAGCTGAAGGAGCAAAATACGCGTGAAGACAAGGTTACCTATCAACCTGAACCTGTGGAAGGGAAGAAGGCCCGAGAAGAGCTACGTACCATGCTGGAAAACACTGCAGTGGCCGAACTGCAGCAGCTGAAACTTCCGGTGGCAGCAGCGGCAGAAGCGGTTGACATCAGCCTTCTACACAAGAGGATGGGGCACGCAAGCACTCAACGGATCAAGGAAATGATGAAGAAAAACATGGCTGCGGGAGTGAAGGTGACGGGAGCTGAGGAAACCCATACTAAGTGCGACTCATGTGTTGAAGGGAAAGCTACAAAAGCTCCCCATCCAAGACATGGACCGAAGGAGCCATATGGGGCAATGGAAGTGGTGGCAGCGGACGTATGCGGTCCAATGAGGGTCACATCACGACATGGCAGCAGATACTTCGTCACGTTCACAGACATCGGCACAAGGCTCACATGGGTGACGGAAATCAAGGATAAAACTCAGGTTTTTCCGAGTTTTGTGGACTGGTTGGCAGAAGCTGAACGACAAAGCGGCAAGCAACTGAAAGTACTTCGAACCGACAACGGCGGTGAATTCATCAACAAGGAGTTCAACGACTACCTGAAAGCCAAGGGAATACGACGGCAGCGTACTATTCCCCACACCCCTCAACACAACAGTATTGCGGAGCGGGTGAATAGGACACTACTCAACAGCGTGCGAAGCATGATAGCGGACAGCAAGCTACCTTTGAACTACTGGGGAGACGCGCTGGGCATGGCTTGCTGGCTGAAAAATCGCCTACCAACGAAGGGACTTGCAGCTGACCTGACACCTCATGAGGCATTCTACAAACGGAAGCCTAACCTGAAGTTTCTTCGGGTATGGGGCTGTATGACGCAATACAGCCCCCCTGCTGGAGCTGATCACAAACTCCTGCCAAGAGCACGGTGGGGGGTGCACTTGGGAACATGCCCGGAGAGCAAAGGCTGGATTATCAAAGACGTGGAGACTGGAATCGTGCTGGCGACCAGGGATGTGACATTCTACGAAAATCTCAACTACGTGGACTGGAAGGCAAGCAACAAGGGCACAACTCCGGGGACAGCTCCTGCCACACCTCAACGAGCGGAGGAACTACTTGAAGTTGCCCAAAACGAAGGCTTGGGGACAGCGAACAATGAAGGGGAAGAAGAAGAGGAGGAACATACCCAACCGGGAGTGGATTGGGTGTGGGAGCCAACTGAGGAGACGCTCAACCACAATGACATGGAAGAGACTCCTGCAACCCCACACCCGCCGAAATCAGCGAGCAACAAAGCTGAAGGCATTGGAGAGGATGAAGCTGACCCAATAGATCAGTCAAGCAATGAGGGAAAAAGCGACCCGTGGGAATTTTTCGAGACAAGCAACAATGACAAAGGAGCAGCAGAGATCGACAACTTGCTGCAGGATGGTGCTATTCTCATTGGGAGAGAGGAAGGAGGCACGAGCACGGAGAAATCAGGGGAGATGGAAGCAGGCACGTATGCAAGTGATGCTTCGGTGAAAGGAGAGGAGCTGGGAAGAGGGATGCGGACGAAGAAGCCGAATCCGAGATACCAACAGCTCTTGATGACATGCTGGAAAGACGTGCACACTCACCTCCTCCTCACCTCGACGGCAACCGCGTTGATTACCAAGGAAAGGAGAGAGACTTACCACCTGCCACAAGAACCCTTGACCATCGAGGAGGCACTTTCTGGACCGAACAAGGAGCAGTGGAAAGCGGCTATACAAGAGGAGTTGGACACTCTCGCGGAAAGAGGCACTTGGAAACTCGTCCAAATGCCCGAAGGGAGGCACGCCGTTGGCGTCAAGTGGATTTTTAAGATAAAAACAGGTGACATGGGGCAGCTGGAGAGGTTCAAGGCGCGGCTGGTGGCCAAAGGCTACACGCAAGTGGAGGGGATCGACTACACGGAGACATATGCACCAGTCAGCAAGTTGACTACAGCAAGGACACTCTTCAAGATAGTTGCAGCACGCAACTACATCATGGTTCAACTTGACATCAAGAACGCTTTCCTCTATGGCAAACTTCGAGAAGACATCTACATGGATCAGCCTACAGGAATGGAGGACGGAACTGACAGAAAATGCAAGCTGTTGAAAGCGCTCTATGGGCTGAAACAAAGCCCTAGAGAGTGGTACAAGGCTATGGATGCACGCCTGCTCGAAGGAGGATTCCAGAAAAGTCAGTGCGACAGAGCACTTTACTGGAAAGGGGAAGGAAAGGAGAAAGTCTACCTCCTACTCTACGTCGACGACATCCTAGTGGCGGGAGCATTGGAGGACAGAGTTGAGGAGGTGTGTGCTCACCTTGCAGCCGTTTTTCAAGTGAAGCAGATCCCGCGAGCCACGTTGTTCCTGGGCATGAACCTGGAGCGGGACCGAGAAGGCAGGAAGCTGCTACTTTATCAAAAGAAGTACATTCAACGGCTGCAAGAACGATTTGGGACACCAGACTGCACCAAGGCCATGACAACTCCGCTCAGCAGCCTCTCGGAGAAGGAAATCGATCCTGAAGAAGAACTCATCCAATGGGGCAGCAAGGAGCGAGCAGTGAAGGCTTACCAGTCACGCGTCGGATCGGTGATGTACCCCGTCTCTTGTACGCGGGTAGACGTCGCACATGCTGCCAGCTTCTTGGGGCAAAACGTGCTACAGCCAGAAGGCCGCAAGTGGAAGGAGATGCAGCGCACAATCGCTTATCTGCAGCAACGGGGAGAAGAGGGGCTACTCTACGAAGGCGGAGAAGAAACAATGGAGCTAATCGGATATGCTGATGCATCTCATGCATCAGACAAGAAGGACCGGAAGGGAGCTTATGGATACGTCTTTCTCCTGGGCGGGACAGCAATCACTTGGCAAGCAAAGAAGCTAAACGACATTGCACTCTCGAGCGCGGATGCTGAATACATGGCGTTATTCTACGCCTGTCAAGAAGGAGTATGGCTTCGGCGTTTGATGCAAGAAATGGGGATACACATTGCAGGACCAACTACCATCAGATCGGACAGCATATCGGCCATAGCATTGGCGAAAAACGACAACTGGCACGGACGTACAAAGCACATGGACATCAAATACCATTGGGTGCGTGAACAGCTGGAGAAAAAGGCATTCACCTTTGAGTTCGTACGAACAGAAGATCAAGCAGCCGATTTCCTTACTAAGAACCTTCCGAAGGCTAATTTCGAGCGCTGCAAGTATCTCGTCGGGATGCGGAACCTGCAGGACTTACAGGGGAGCAAGGTGCAAGAATAGTGATGAAGATTTTCAGATCTAGGGTTAGCAGCAGCAAACCACAGGGGAGATTGTTAGAAGTGGTTTCGCCGCTGCACCGACTTTAAGAGCGAAAAAACGACAAAAGGGATGCCTGGAAAATGCCTTACCTATGGCGGTGGGAAAGAATAGGCTTGAAATTGAGTTTCTGACGGCGGGAGAAGTTAGGTGTGAGAGCCTGAGGAAGAGCTGGTAAAAACGAGGGTTTCAGGAGGAAGAGAAGGGAGAACGTTCTGGACCGCCAGAAATTTTCCAACCTTTCTGGAGGCGGCGTTCGGTGGAATTGAAGAAAGTCGGTTTCACCGACGGTTCAGTTTGAATTACGGTTTTTCAACGTCGGTTACTGTTACGAAATTCGGATTCGCGACGAGGCGCGTTACGCGAGGCGCACTTTGAAATTCGGATTTCGGATTGCTTAAATTGCATGTTCTGTTTTCCTCATTGTATCAGATTTTCATAGTGAAACTTTCTGTTTGCAACCTGGGTTGGAAAGCAACCTGTTTGAGCAACTTTCAGTTCAAGTTTGAAGCCCGCTACTGCTACTTTCGTGACTCCTAAGTCACGTGCTTACTACGACTGAGACCAAGACGATGATGCCCCAACGTAAGAGTCTCCTCCCACCATCCGATGCACCAATGTCGCACTGCGACGCAGCGACGTGCATTGCCATGCAGCAATGTCGCATTGCGATACAGCAATGTCGCATTGCGATGCAGCAACGTCGCATTGCGATGCAGCAACGTCGCATTGCCATGCAGCAATGTCGCATTGCGATGCAGCAACGTCGCATTGCGACGCAGCGACGTGCATTGCGATGCAGCAATGTCGCATTGCGATGCAGCAATGTCGCACTGCGATGCAGCAATGTCGCACTGCGATGCAGTTAACGTCACATTGCGATGCAGCAACGTCGCATTGCGATGCAGCAAACGTCGCATTGCGATGAAGCAACGTCGCATTGCGATGCAGCAACGTCGCATTTCGATGCAGCAACGTCGCATTGCGATGCAGCAACGTCGCATTGCGATGCAGCAATGCCGCATTGCCATGCAGCAATGTCGCATTGCGATGCAGCAACATCGCATTGCGATGCAGCAATGTCGCATTGCGATGCGACTATGCCGCATCATCATTGCCAATGCGATCGGTCGACGTCGTGAAAGGAATGAGCAGGAATAAAAAAATCGTTTTGGTGCGACGTCAGTCCACGTCGTCGACACCTTAGCACAAGCGGGATTCACCTTGGTGCGACGCGCGGCCGACGTGCCACAGCTGGCAGTAGAACCGCGCGCCCTTGTCGTGCACCGCCTTGATCACCGGCTTCCACGCCGCGATCTGCGCCTCCGTGTAGATTCCCGGGGTGTCGGGGTACCCGTGCGCCTCGGGTGAGATACACGTGGCTTCGGTGAGCATGAGCCCGCCCTTGTGCGCGCGCTGCCCATAGTAAATCGCGGCGTTCGGCTGCGGGATGGTCCCGAGGGCGCGGTCGCGCGTGAGCGGCGCGTAGACGATGCGCATCGAGAGCTCCGTGCCGTCCGGGAGAGTGAACGGCGTGAGGAGCGGGTTGGCCATGATGCGCGGCGCGAGCGGGTCGACTGAGACGGACGGAGCAGAAAATGCAAGGATTTCTGCGGGGATGAAGGAGCTCAGCACACACAAATAGGGTCGCAATGTGTCATAAAAAAAAGCTGATAGAAATGGTTTCAGCATTATAAGGAACACGCATGGGTCAGGTTGAGATCGTTCAGACAACCTGGACTAGTTGATTACTGCACACCGCGACGCGGCATGCTAGTGTGACTGGGCGACAAGTACAGTGGTGGCTTGGTTTGAAGCGGTATATGTAAGGGAATGTTACGAGTGGAATTGAGCGAGCGAGCGAGAATTGCACTATCTAAGACAAAACAGTACATTGAGGGTACGAGAGAAGAATGTATAGCGAAGCTAGCATGGTAACAGTAACGTGAGAATTTGGGGTGCGCTACGTGCACAGCGCCGATGTTGGGAAATGTCGAAGCGGAGGACCACAGCACGGGTTACCAACTGAACCGTGAGGTTGGGTCGCGAGGCGTACAGCGGCGAAAACATTGGTCGAGGCGACTGCCACGAGCGCGTTACGTTTTACTGTTGGGTGTCGGTGGCGGGAACAGTCATGTACGCGGTAAGCAGGGGTGTGAAGTAAGGAAAAGGAATTTTCCTTACGCTACCCCCCACCCCTAAGGAGGCCCTCCTTACGAGAGTGTGTGTAAATCTCGGAAAATTCGGCTGCGCAGATAGTCAGTGAGAATGGGGTGCTTTTCGATTCTATCCATGGGTACCCAGTTGTCTTCACTTGGTATGCAGTCTTTCTAGCGGATCAGAAATTCGATCATACGAGCTATACGTGGGTCACGAACTCGGTGGCTCCGTATTTTTTCAGGCGTGATGATTGGCTCTATTGGCGGTCGTGTCATGCTGGCTGGGCGGGTGCGTGGCAGTTGGCTGGTGGATGGGACGTGGGCAGAGCAAGCTGACGTGGAATGACGGGTTGACGTACAAGTCAGCTGGGAGGAGGAGATGGGCAGTGCCATGGGTAGTCATTGTGAGAATAAGCGAACAGGAATGAATGACTAAAGAAAGATTGGGTACAAATACAACCCTAGAAACTCTGTACCCCATATGTGCTACCCCACTATAGCCTACAAACATGCATCAGCTATAATACTCTGACACACCCCCATAGGCTAAGTGGGGGAGAACAAGGGGTCACAAGACCAGTCAAGCAAAACAAAGCAAAACAAGCTCAGGGTGGATCACAAAGTCACCACACAGTCCGAGCACAAGAGCAGGGCCAGAGGCCAGTTCACATGCAGGAGTACAGACATATATATAAAACTAGACAAGCAAGAGCAGGTATATATATATGTCACAGTACAAGTGAAGTCAAGAGGAGAGCAAGTGAGGCAAGACAGGTACAAGACCCAGCTGGGTGCAAAAGCGCTGATGGTCACAAGGCGCGAGTGCCTTGGTGAACACATCAGCAGTGTTGGCCTCAGAGGCCACGTACGCAAGTCGCAACTGACCACGCTGCTGCAGCTCACGAGCAAGGAAGTAGCGGAGAGCAATGTGCTTCGTTCTGTGCTCCAAGCGCTGCTCTCGACACAAGGCCAGCATGGCCTTGTTGTCTACGTACAGCACTGGAGGAGAACGAGGCGGCTCTCCAAGGTCAGTCAGCAGGTAGGTGAGCCAGCGAAGCTCCTGTGCAGCCATGGCCCCGGCGTAGATCTCAGCCTCACAACTGGAGCCGAGAACCGAAGACGAGCGAGTAGACCGCCACGAGACAGAGCCGGAACCAAGGCTGAAGGTGTAACCCTGTGACGACCGCTGCGTAGACTGGTCGTCAGCCCAAGAAGCGTCCGCGTGGCCGGTAAGGACCACTGGACTCCGCCCTCCAAGCACTAGCCCCATGCCCGACGTACTGCACAGGTAGCGCAATACCCTCTTCGCTGCAGCCATGTGCTCCGGTCTGTGTCTCCCAGGAGCAACATAGCGTGCAAGAATGCTCAGAGGGTATGCAAGGTCAGGTCGTGTGCAGGTCATCAGGTACATGAGGCAGCCAACAAGCTCTGCATACGGACCACTCGACTCTACGGACTCATCCGAAGCCAGAGCTGAGAGTGAGTGGCGAGTAGGCAGAGGAGTGGCCTGAGGCGAGGAGTACGTAAAGCCGAAGCGCTGAAGGACCTGCTGCACCATGTGTGACTGAGTCAAGGTAATGGTGCGGCGTGCTCTGTCCCGAGTGATCTGCAAGCCAAGGTAGCTCCGCAGTTCACCCAGGTCTGTGCACGTGTGTCTCTTCAGCAGCTCGGACTTCACGTAGGCGAGTCCAGCAGTGTCCGCTGTGGCAAAGACCAAGTCGTCGACGTACACGAGGATGTAGAACGGCGGCAGGGAATTGTCGGTGCGAAGAAACAGCGACGGGTCAGCAGTAGAAGGAGCAAACCCAAGAGCCGCAAGCGTAGTCCTCAGTGTGTGGTGCCACTCACGCGGTGCCTGGCGGAGACCGTAGACTGGCCGTCGGAGGCTCCACTGGGTGCCAGGAGGGAAAGTCCCAGTGAAGCCAGGTGGACGGCGAAGCCAGATCTCCTCGTGCAGGCTACCCTGCAAGAACGCAGTGCTGAAGTCGAGAGAGTGAAGCTCGTAGTCGCGCTGAGCGGCTATGTGCAGCAGCACCCGAAGAGTAGTCATCTTCGGGGTGGGAGAGAAGGTCTGAAAGTAGTCAACTCCCTGCCGCTGACTGAAGCCACGAGCAACGTACCGTGCCTTGAAGACAGGTGGAGAGCCCGGCGGCCGCTTCACCCTGAAGATCCACATGCCACTGACGATGTTCGCCCCAGGAGGGGGAACCGCGTCAACGTAGGTGCCTGTGGACTTCCAGGAAGCCATCTCTGCATCCATAGGTGCCTGCCACTGAGAGGAGTAGGGACCCTCTACGGCCTCCGCGTAAGAACGCGGAGTCGGGATGTCTAGTGCATCCGGGTCTCCCTCAGGGGCAAGCAGAACAGACGCGAGATGAGGTGAAGCAGCCGCTAGACACTGTAACTCCTCCTGCCTGTCCTCTAGGACGTCCGTGCCAAGAGCACACTCACCCCCGACGGACGGAGGACAGACAGACGCAGACTCAGCAACAAGACTAGCAGCGTAGTCGAGACGACAGCGAGCAGCAAAGTCGACGAGCTCAGCGACTAGAGCAGACGCAGCAGTGGACTCAAAAGAGGGGTCAGTGACGACAGTAGCAAGCAGACGCGTGACAGTAGGGCTGGCAGCACGAAGAGAGTCCGACTCAGGGTCGGCAAGCGCAGGAAGAGAGGACTCAGGAGGAGAAGGCAAAGGGGCACGCAGAGGAGCAGTGGACGGACGCAAAGACATCCGGTGCGTGCCAGGGACAGGAGGAGGACGCTGACGCGAACTGCGACCACTAACGCGAGCAGCACGAACAGGCGACGCGGGACGAGACGCAGGCTCACGACGCTCAGCAAGACCTCCAGTAGGACCAGTGTAAGGAGAGGGAGCACGCAGTGGAGAGGAAGGCTCCAGCAGAGACTGCGACTGGACAGGCGGTGGACCCTCTACTGGAGGAGAAAGACCAAGAACCTGCTGCAGGAGCGGAACGAAGTACGGCCGAGGCCGCGTGGCAGCTCCAGACGTAGCAGGGACAGCACCAGCACCCTCAGCGACAGCACCAGCGCCACCCACACCTCTAGCGGCAGGACCAACAGCAGTAGGCTCAGCACCAACGCCCTCAGCAGCTCCAGCTCCAGTAGGACCCGCAGGTCCAGCAGCTCCGGGACCGGCAGCACCCGCACCCTCGACGGTCGAAGAAGCTCCAGCTCCAGCTCCAGCAGCACCTCCAGACTCAGCAGCACGCCTCCAGCGGCGAGCGAACCACTCGCGCAGCTCCTGTGGAGAGAGGGGCTCACGGCGAGACGCAGCAGCAGGAGAAACCCCAGGCGCAGCAGCTCCAGACGCAGCACCCCCAGGCTCAGCAGCTCCCGACCCAGCACCCCCAGACCCAGCACCTCCAGGCACAGCACCTCCTGGCTCAGCACCCCCAGGCTCCGCACCCTCCGCAGTAGCACCCTCAGGCCCAGTACCCCCAGCAGTAGCACCCCCAGGCTCAGCACCCCCGCGCACAGCACCCCCAGAGTCAGCACCCCCAGGCTCAGCACCCCCGCGCACAGCACCCCCAGAGTCAGCACCCCCAGGCTCAGCACCCGCAGCAGCACCAGAGTCACTTGTAACCTCGACCGGGTCAACGGCGTCTACCTGGGACACACCTGAGGGGGCAGGAACCTGAGGGGGGAGGGGGTCTACCGGGGGGGGAACCGGCACAAGGAAGTCCGGGGGAGGGGGGAGGGAAGGAGTGCGGTAGGGGAAGAGACGGTAGAAGGGGACTGACTCGTCGAACGTGACGTCCTGGGAGGACAGAACACGACGAGAGGAGGGGTGGTAAAACTGCCACCCTGGGGCGTCAGTGGGGAAGCCAAGGAAGACACAGGGAGCAGCACGAGGGGACAGCTTGTCCGCAGACAAGTCGCGGACAAACGCCCGAGATCCCCAGACACGGAACACAGACGCATCGCCAACCTTCCCTGTGCACAGCTAGGCTGGGGACATCGCAGGCCGAGAGACCCGGGGGTGAAGGTTGAGCTGATGCGCCGCGTACCTCACCGCAAACGGCCACAGAAAATGGGGGGCAGCTGCATGCATCATGGACGTACGAGCGACATCCATGACCATGCCAATGCGGCGCTCAGCAATCCCATTTTGCTGTGGTGAGTCCGGAAGCGTGAAGGACTGGCGGATGCCTTGCGCACGACAGTAGGCACGCAGAAGGCCAGAGGAGAACTCTCCGCCTCTGTCCGAGTGCAGACGCAGAACAGGAAAGTCCGAGCCGAAGCTCTTCCTGAGCAGGAGACGAGCCTCGCGGATCCAGTCGATCAGCACCTCAGTGACCGCACCCTTGCTGCGCAAGGGGAGGACTGTGGTGTAACGCGAGTAGTCGTCAACCACCAACAGGAAGTAGCGCTCGGAATCCTGCCCACGGACGGGGGCTGGGCCCCACACATCCATGTGAAGCGTCTGCAGGGGAGCCTCTGTCGGGGGGAAGTGGGAGGAGTGAGGAGTAGCCCGGAGGCGACCCTCGACACAGGGGACACAGGAAGGTCCTGGCCCGGAGGGGAGAGGAGGGAGAGACTGGGGAAGACCAGAGACAAGGACACGGGAAGCCATGCTCCGAAGACGGGGCAAG